ATGCCGCGCTGGTGCAGCAGTGTCACACATGGTAGCATTTAGGAGCCCTTCACAGCTGAGGTGTTTCAAACACTAATGAATGGAAGTTTGGTCATATAACGCAGGCAACCTTTAAGGCATGCCTTACTGAATAGTGTACTGTAGCAGCCTGGGAAAGGAAGAGAGTTATAAATTGTGTCAGTTAGCCACCCAGACAAAATGAAGCCATGTGGAAAATCAAATCTATTAAAGTATGAGGACTGTTATAAGCTGTTCTAAGCTGGTCATTCTTAAAAGGTTTCAGTTTGCTGTAGGGGTAAATGTTTACCTATTCTTTCTAGATCTTTTTCACATGCTGTCGTACATGATGATATGCAGCATTTGATAAAAATCAACTTCTCACTAACAGCCCTTTTATCAAAGATGTTTATTGTCTCCAGTTTTACCACCCATGTCCTGAAAGGTACTGCACATTTGTTAAATAAGCAGCATCAAGAAGATTGCAGACAGAACTGGCCTGCTGAAGGCAAACATCAAGGCCAAGGGATAGAGTAGCACAGGGCAGGTCATGTGAAGCGGGGACTCTGTCTGAGTTTATGTCAAATTTCCTGTGCGGGGCTAGTCTACTTTTCAGATACTGCATCTCAACACAGTGGCATTTTTACATGCACATTTTAGTACTAAGGCCAAATGATTTAACAGATCTTTTTTTTACACAGCAGCTGAGAAAAATCCACTCAAATTCTCTTCTCGATCTTTTAAAAATGTCAAGTTAGAGGAAAGAAATTGCACCTTATTAAAAAAGTTGGAAGTAGCAACTTTCAGCCAAGAAGATTTTCCTCCTTGTCTTTCTTTTTAGAGATTATCTGAAACAAGAGGTGGTTCTAGTTTTAGAGGAGATGCTGCTCTTTCCTGTTTCACACCTAGCTGACTCTCCTTTGTCATGAGAAATGTGAGGATATAATCAATCCACTATCAAACACAATACAACAAAGTAATTACTGTGGAGTTCAAATTCAAGACCCCTTCCATTTTCTGCATTTTTATTTAGTTTCTCCTCTTCCAGTTTGACATAATATCAACATGGGATTAAAAGTGGGAAAACTGGAAGGCAACTTGGAGAGAGAGCCAAAAATGAATTGGTGTGATCAGCAGCCCCTTTTCCCTTTAAAAAGGGGTGGAGAAACAAGGTCCCAGAGCTCTTGTTTCTTTTTTTGCCTCTTTTTGGTGATGAGAGGTCAGATTCTCAGTCTGCACAGGTCTAGTTGGACCCTGAAGAAACTTGCCTCCCTCCTGAAAAGAAAGCACTCCCCTGGACTCTTGGAATAAGGTAGAGGTTGTAAAGAGTGTTGGGAAGTAATTAGTCCTTGAAAGAAGGTCCTTGGTGGCAACACTATCTGCTTTTATATCTGAAAGGCATAGTAACAGTGATAATTGTATATTTTATTTGTTCATTCTAGGAAGAGACTGAAGAAACTGAAGAGACATCCTCACAAGAATCTGCAGAGGAAGACTAGAAAACCACACCATTCAATTTCTACCTCATCAGCAGTTGGGTCTTTTGAAGGGAGAAGACGCTGCCTTGACCACTTATTTTCTATTGCCATGGTCTTTCCACTTTTGCCTGGGCAGAGGGGGGAGGGGGACGGAAATCACATAACCTTAAAAAGGACTTTATTAATCGCCTTTGTAATCCCTTCACATTCCCAGGTTTAGTGAAAAACTGCTGTAACACAAGGGGACACAGATTAATGATGCAACTTTTAATTACTGTTTTCATTTTTCTTAACCTACTAATAGTTTGTTTGAGCTGCTAAGTGAGGGTGTATGGGTCAAGAAGAGCTTTGAATCAGGTTAAGTCATTCACTGCACTGCATACAAACAAGAAACTTGTAAAATATTAATTATAATGGGCATTGGAATAGGAAAGGTTTTGTGTGTAACACATTAGGCCTTACATCACCTCCAAGGACCCACTCCCTAGCTTAGTAACCTCCCTGTTTAGGACACCAAAGATAAGGGATAGATACTACTCTTTTTATAACCTTCTTGTAGACTTGTACTTGATTTTTTTAGACTTACTGTTATTTCAGGAAAAATTAAAAGCTGATATTTCACTTAATTCAGCTGATAAGCAAATGAAAAAATCAACAAGAAAAAGGTACTTTCATTTTGCAAAAGGGAAGAAAGACAAAGATATGTTGTATATATACAAATACAAACATATCGTCAGAAATAGTACTAAACAAAATTCCCAGCCCTCATCTTCAGGAAAGTAGGAATTCAGGTAGAGTTGGCTTTCCACAGAGCCAGATATTGTTTAGAAAATAGAGGTGACTGACACCAATATATTCTTAAGCCATGTAAAGACATAGTTTTATTAACTAAAGTGTTTAAAACAAGTAATAGAAAGGTACCTCAAATGAATTGTGAACTTACCTGAACAAATCAAAAATAACCCAGGTGTTGGTTTAGCTTTAGCTAATTCCACCTACCGTATATCAGTCTATCAAAGGGAATGAATCTCTTCTCATCACTCATCAGTCTTGATGTAAGAACCAACACCATGTACCTCAAGTGAGTTTATATATTACTTTAAGTAATATACTTTGACATAGGATGGTTCACTGGGCAGTTTTAACCCCAGTGACATTTCTCCATGTTTTCACTCAAAACAGCACTTTTAGCAACAGATGCAATATTACCCCACTATTCAATACTACCTCTGATTTTTACAATTAAGTCAACAGCCTAATAAATACATGCTGCTATACACATACAATGCAGGAAAATATTATTGGGTAGATAATCATAAATATCTGCATTTTCCCTTTATTTCTAACTTCAATACTTAATTGCAATTAAGAGCAATATCTTTAATGTGTTTCAGCATGACTACATCTTTTTTTCCTCCTTTTTAATATACTTATTCCTATTCTCTGCTAGACTTCTGTGTAATGTACTGTTAACTTGAATATATTTTTGTACTGAATTGCTCGTAGGTTTGTAAGGATGATTTTCTTCAATGACACTACATGACATTTAAATATTGCTGTCCAAGTTTGTACCTCAAATGAAATGTTTAAAGAAATGGACTAATCAATTGACAAAGACCTACCTCCAGACTTCAAATGGATTGAACTTGTTACTTTCAAGCATTAGTTTTGAGACATTTTAAAGTTAGGACTGCAACTAATCCCTCATTCAAAACTATTTTTGTAAAAGAACTGTTGGAAATGAACACATTTTAAATTACTTTCGTATTAAAAAAAAACCGCTTCAAAGAAACTTGAAGCTTTGTAGGTGGGAAGCAACAGGCTCAGCTTTTGCATAATGCAATCACAAATAAGTGTTTTTTAAAAAAAATTAGTGGATTGTAAGAAAATGCTTGACAAGTATTTTCATGTATTTTACACAAATGTGATTTTGTAATATGTTTCAACCAGATTTATTTTAAATGCTTCTTATGTAGAGATTTTTATTCCTTCCTCTATTTTCTTTTTCCTTCTTTCTTTCTTTCTCTCCTAGTCAGTACTTCTACTTTGTACCATTGTATTATTAACTGGGCCAGGGGTAGTTTCTCAGGAAGTCTTCTATCAGTATGGCTTTAGTACTGAGCCAAATGCAACTAAAGATAACTACTTAGTGGCTTCTTCAAAGAGGTAATTATCAAGAAAAATGGACCTCTTCAAAAAGACAGCAGAGGGCTCATTGCTGAGATTTGCTGAGAAAGAGCTGATCAGAGTATTAAAATCAGTCATGTTCAGATCAACTAAGTTGGAAATACTCATATTTTAGGGGCCAAATCCAATATCCAGTGAAGTCAACAGAAGAACTTCGGTTGACTTCAAAAGGACATTGAATCAGGCTTTAACAATTGAATAATAAACAAAATGTTGCGGGGGAGGTTATTTGGGAGGGCTGTTTTTATTTTTTGTTTTGGTTTTGGGTTTTTTTAACCACAATATTCAAAGGATGAAACATAGTGGATTAATGTAGGTCAGACTGCAAGCTCTGAGAGATTTACAGCTCTGATGAAGTTAATCATATATTTTCTATATGTTGTAGTACAATCAAAACACATTACTACCTCTTAGGGCCTACTTTACCTCATTTTTCAGACTGAAAAAATGCATGCGGCCATTGAAACAGTGAGAACATCATAAAATTTTTTATATATATAGTTTATTTTTGTGGGAGATAAATTTTATACGACTGTTCTTTGCTGTCATTGGTCACTGCTAAATAAGACTGGACATTTAACTTTTCTGCTATTTCTGCAAGTTGAGTAACTTTGCAGGAGAAAAGTTTCAAGATGTTTAACTACAGTTTACTTTCTCCTTGAGTGTCTTCTTTTTTGCTTTATTCTTCATATAGAGTTGCTGTCTTTGATTGTACTTTGAATCGCTTGCTTGTTAAAAATGTTTCTTTAATGGATTATCACAGTCTGTTCAGCACAATAAACATAATAGCTTCTGTGATCCCCATGTTGTTTGATTCCTAGACTTTTGTCACAGCTCCATGAAATGGGCAATAAAGTTTGGTCACAATGGACCAAATTTGTAAAAGTTTGCATGCAAGTCGTTTTTGTCCAGCATTGTAAGTACTGTGCACATGTTGCTGTGTGTGAAAAAAGTGGGCTTGCTTTTAAACGCTGTAGTAAATCACACGATGAATTTTGAGGGTTGTGGTACTGGCCCATACATTTACATTTACAACTGAGTCTCTCTCTTGTGATTCCTCAGCTATTATTTCTCCACATTTTTAGTTATATACATTCTCCATGTTAATCTATTTGCAAACAGCTTTTTTACTTACCTGATTTATCTAGGCCTTCTAAACCATTACTCTTCCTATTGCTTTGTGATATGTTTCTATCAATCAAGGTTACTGAGTAAGTTAAATAACCCTAAAACAATCACAAAACAAGTGCTAATATATCTAACTTCAGTGCTGAGACAGATCTGAGCAATTTCATTCACTGCAGTTTGCATCGTCTTGTCCTTTAATCTCTAATCTAATCTCTCTAATCCCACAGTGTTATGGGATCATTCCATTTTACATTTCAATCTTCCTGGTGGTCTTCCTCCCTCTGGTTGCCATCACTCAGCTCTTCCTGTTATTTTATCTATTATGCTCCAGCTGTAACCCACCCACCTAATGGATCAGCCAACTCACTGAACTTCTGTGACTTCGTGCTTAACTCCCCTCAACTTTCTATAAGTCATTCCTCTAAACCACCTCACTCCCCGTTTCCTTCTTGAGACATCTCCCATTAATGTTATCACAGTTTATATCATGATGGGACTGCACACCTATAAATAAACTTAATAGGTGCTTTCAGGATCAAGTCCTGTTTCGGTCCAGCTCCCAGGTTTCTGCTCTTCCCAGTACAAATGTGACAAAGACTGTGATAGACCTCCATTCTTTCACTTAGTTCCCATGACATCATTTTCTCAAAGTTCTAAGGAATTGTTTAAAGTTAGTGCTACAGATGCTTGGCTAATATCACTTTTAGAGTGCTTTTTCCTGTCCATGGATACCACACCAATTAATTTGAGATTCCCTACATTTTCTTCTGAACATCTAGTGCTGGTCTCTCTCAGTGACCAGAGACTGGACCACCAGTTTGATCCAGTGGGGCAGTTCCTTTGTTCCTATAACCAGATACTAGAATGCTGTTTTGTCATAGTTCAGGTGTCAGTTGAAACCAGAATGAAATATAGTTTTCAATCCCCACCGATTAGCATTCCTTTACATTGAATTTCTGGCCATATCCCAGTCTGTCTCTGGATTCAGCTGCTTTACAAATCCCATCATCTTCCTTTCCATATTTATGTGCAGATCCATACTTTGCCTCTATTAAGAAGTGAGGAAAGGTCTGGTTGCTATATCCTATCTTGCTTCTGAAACAACAGTTACCAGCAACATTAGTATTCTTTCCATCTGCTCAGCAGCGTGTGTGTTTATCTTACAGAAATTATCAAAAAATACTGTGGCTGCCATACTTTAAAAGCCAAATTATTTTTTGTATATTTGTATTCCATTTTGCATGTCATGGGTTGTCATCTTGAGTAGCCCCACTCTTCCGGTGCTCCCATCCTGCTTTGCTACTCAATAACAGTCTATATAGACACTACTACTTTAAGCCTGGACCTATCCATATCATCTTTCTAGTTGATCTGTTACGTTGTACCTGTTACACTACCTCTTTTTTAAAAAATTCCAGTCAGATGTTCCAATTGGGTGGCAAGTCTGTCATGGGAGGGGGCCATAGTGGACTTTAGTACTATTACATGATTGCCTACAGTTGCAGTGGACTGGATTGATGACCCTTCTTGTCCCTTGCATTCCTCCATTCCTGTATGTTGTCCTAAATCTCTGCCTTTTTCTCTGTCTTCACTGGTGAACTTTACTATTAATCTTCTTGCCTTTGCCTTTCTTGCAATGTGGAAAACCAGATTTCAAAAGCATTTCCCTTCAACTTTTACTTAATTTTCTTCTCCATCCTGATAATCTTTTCCCCTCATCTTTGGCATTCCTTTAATCTCTCCTGTTTTTGCTTTTTTTTACATCTGTATTATAGACTCTTTTCTTCAGCCTTTATTTGCACATAAGAAGGGAGGGCTGGAAGGGTCTTCACAGTGTCATCTACTATAGCCCCTTGCTCAAGGCATGATCGTCCCTGACTCAACCATCCCAGCCAAGTGGCAATCTAACCTCCTAAAAACTTACAAGGATGGAGATTCCACAGCTTCTCTAGGCAGTCTGTTGCAATGCCTGACCATTCTTATAATTAGAAAGTTCTTCCTAATCTTCAGTCTAAATTTCCTTTGGTGCAGCTTGAGGCTATTGCTCCTAGTCCTGTCCCCTGAAGCCACAGAGAATAGCCTTTCTCCATCCTCTCTGTAATCTCCTTTCAAGTACTTGAAGACTTTTGTCAAATCTCCCTTGAGTTTTCTCTTCTCCAACCTAAATAATTCTAGATCTTTCAGCCTTTTTTCATAAATCTTGCCTCCCAGGCCCCCAATCATTTTTGTTCCCCTGTGTTGTGGACCCTTTACAAACGGTCCATATCTTTGTTGAAGCTTGGGGTCCAAAACTGGACACAGTACTCCAGGTACTCCAGTACTGAAGAGAGGGCACGTCTATACAAGATGCGGTAATGCACATTACAGGCATGAAGCTACATCTGTGCTCACTTAATTCACATTAAAAATGGTGAAATGAGGCTAATCATGCCTAAATTTCATACCGCAAATGCAGGTATCAAATTTAGACACAATTAGTTAAAGCACATTAATGCATTAGGGGCATATGGCAAGACTGCAGGGACACCTGCCATAAATTGCTAAATGCAAATTAAATTTAGGTATGTTTAAATGTACACGTAGATTTAGAGTGAAATAATCACTGTCCCTAATTTGTATGTGACACTCCTGTTAATACAACAGTTTATAAGACTGTTAGTTTTTTTTGCAATATATTTTTGACTCATATACAGTTGGTGGTCCACCAAAGCCCCCATGTCCTTCTTTCATAGATTCATAGATTGTTAGGAGCTGGAAGAGACCTTGCAGATCATTGAGTCCTCAGACTCATTCTCTAGGCAGGAAGACAACTGGAGTTAGGTTACCCCAGCGAGGTGACTGTCTAGTCTGCTCTTGAAAACCTCCACGGTAGGTGACTGCACCAAGTCTGGAGGGAGTTTATTCCAGTCAGGACACCCTGATTGTGAAGGAGTTTTTCCTGGAATTGAGCCTGAAGCAGCCTTCCAGGAGTTTGTATCCATTGGTCCTGGTCTTCCCCAGGGGTTCCCTGGTGAACAGTTGTTCACAGAGCTCCTGATGCACTCCTCTGATATAGTGGTAAGCTGCTATCAAGTCCCTTCTCAACCTTCTCTTCTTTAGGCTAAAGAGGCCCAGGTTCTTCAGCTTTTCCTCATAGGCTTGCCTTGCAGGCTACCAACTTGAAAGTATCTAGCTTCTCTAAGTAATCCTAACATGTTCTGCCATTACTCTGAGCTGTTTGTCTTCTTCCCTATCTCTGCTGCCAACTACACCCATCAGCTAGTAGCTGCCCCTATTTGTGAAAACTGCAGTAAAAAAGGCATTAAATACATCCACCTTTTCTGTTCTTCCTCTTACTTTTGACGTACCTAAAAAATCACTTTTTATGGCCTTTCATGTCCCTTGCCAGCTGCATCTCAAATTGTGCCTTGGTCTTCCCCATTTTCTCCCTGCATGCCCATGGAATACACTGTTTCCCAGTACTATGACCATTTTTTATATGATTCCTTTTTGAGTTTCAGTTCCTTGAAGAGACTGCTGTTTAGCCAGGCTGATCTTCTGTTCTCTTTCCCTTCTTCCTGCATCTTTAAGAGAGCCACTTTAAAGTACAGCCAGCTGTCATGGACTCCCTTTTGCCTCAGACTTGCCTCCCAAGTGATCCTATCCTCCAGGCCCCTGAGTTTGGTAAAGTTTGCTTTTCTGAAATCCAGTGTCATTATGGTGTTCTCCTTCCTTCTCCCTCTTAGGATCTTGAACTCTTATCATTTTATGGTCATTGTCACCTAAGTTACCTTTCACTTTCACATTCTCAACCAATTCCTCCCTGTTTGTGAGCAGGAAGTCAAGAAGAGATCTCCATCCCTGCCTGCCATTAGCCTCTCTACCATCAGAATCAAAAAGTTAGCCTTAACTCCAGGAACTTCCTGGACTGCTTGCGCACTGCTGTGTCTGAATCCCAGCAAATGTTCCAATAATTGAAGTCCCCATGAGAAAGAAGTCCTGCAATTTAGAAGCTTCTGAAACTTGTCTAAAGAAGGCCTTGTCCACCTTCTTCTCTTGGTTTGGAGTCCTGTAGCAGATGCCCACAATGACATCCCCCAAGCTTCTCTCCCCTCTGACCTTTACCTAGAGGTTTTCAGGAGGCCACTTTGTACTGCAACTCCAAACAGATGTACATCACCTTAGATAGGAAATGCCTCCTCTCTTTTCCCCCTGCCTATCTTTCCTGAACAAGCTACACCCATCTATACCATATTTCAGTCTTGTGAACTATCCCATTACATCTCCATAATCCCAATTACATCATAATTCTATGATGACTAGGTCCTCTGATTCTTCCTAGTTGTTCCCCATACTTCTTGCATTATGGGCTTTTGTCTCCCATCCCCAGTGAACCTCGTTGAAAGCCCTCCTCATTTGGTTAGGAAGCCTGTACATGACACTCTTTCCTCTCTTCATCAAGTACAGCCCATCCATCCATTCATCTTTCCAGCCAGCCATCTTTCTGCAATGCTACCCCATGGTCAAAGAACCCAAAGTCCTGCTGGTGACACCTTCTACACTCATGTGTTGATTTCTAGTCTGCATCTGCCCCTCTTTGGGCCTTTACCCTTGACTGCAAGGATCAATGAGAACACCACCTGGCCCCCCTGCACCCCCTTCATCCTTGCACCCAGAACCCTGTAGTCACTTTTGAT